CCCCCCCCTGGTGAGTGACCCAACACTCTAGCAAATTTTAAAAGGACACCCTCTATTTTTTTTTTTGAGAGGTTTTTCGCCATAGGGCGCATGCGCTCGCCAGACAAACAGAGAAAGACATAGAGACAGAAAGCGAGAAATCACCCCCCAGGGGGTATGTTCACGCCGCAATCCCTTCTCCTCCATTCTCTTCTCGGGATCTTGGGCACGCACGCACACGCGCCCAGCGTGAGTTTTAAGCCACCGGGTCCGGGACGTGAACCGCGGTTGACTACGTGGGAGTCCAGCGACATAGCCATTACGCTAACTGCTGGTTCCCGAGATTGTATATTTTTTTAAGCTAAAGAAATACTTTTGAGGGAAAACGAGGTGGGAAAAAAAGAGGAGGAAGAAGATGATGAAGAGGAAAACTTGTTCCTGTTGAGTGTGAATTTCTGAATTGTGTTCTTTAAATCAGGGAGCATTTTAGATAGGAGTTGTTTTATTTTACTAAAAAAAAATTTAAAAAATTGGTACAGGGTACATGTGCTCTCCAGAGAGGTGGAGTGGGAAGAGAGCAGAGAAAGTGTCCTCCAGTGGGGTGTGCTCATACAGCCACCCTCTTCATTCCCCATCGTGTCGGGGGCTTCAGGCACACATGGCACATGCATCTGGCATGATTCTCAAGCCACCAGGTCTGGAATTCAAACCTCGGTCAGGCATGCGGGATCTGCTCTCTCAACCACTAGACTATGGAGCCAGGTCTTTTTCTGTTTTAATTGACACATAATAATTACACGTATTGGCCCAGCCTCACTGGAAGCCACATGGCTGACCACAGGCTGGGGTCTACAATTGGTCAAATTGAAACATGCCGTGTATGCATGCTTGACCAGGACCCGGACAAGCCTGAGAACTGGGGGAAGACGACTGAGTTCTGAGGAGACCTAAGGAGAGTGCTTCTCTCTCTTTCTTTCTCCCATTCTCTTGTACACATGCACAACATGCTCTTTATCTTGACTAAAATAAACTTTAAAAAGTAAAAAATAGGGGGCCGGCAGGTGGTGTGGTGGTTAATGGCACTGGACTCTCACATGGCCAACCACAGTTCGAGTTCCGGACCTGGTGGCTTGCTTTGTTACTCTCCCTCTCCCTCTCTCTTTCTCGCCCCCCCCCCCGGTCATATTTAAATAAATAAATAAAGTTAAATAATTCTTTTAAAAAGAAAAGTAAAAAATAAGTATACACATTTATGGGATACCGTGTGACATTTTGATACATACATCCAACATGAAATGATAAAATCGGTGTAATTAGCATACCCATCACCTAGACATGTAGTAGACTTCTCTGGTCACCCTGCTGAGCTATAAAACACCTGTCTTTGTAGTTTTGTTCTTGTCAGGGCTCCTTTAAGACAGCTTCTCAGTTCCTATGTGGAGGGAAGCAGCCTGGACTTACGTGGTGGATGTTCTGCCTCTTGGCTGTGCCGGCACGTTTCTCGTTAGTGCTTGCTAAGGAGGACACTGTGAGCCTGCTTCCGTGGAGATGATGGTGGTGTGCATGCTTGTGTTCCAGGCTGAGCAGCTTGTGCTGTCGGGCGCAGACAGTGACGAGGAAGCCTCGAAACCAGCGTCTGGAAAAGGCTTGAACGTGAGTACTAACAACTGGCAGGGCCTCTGCTAACTGGGTGAAACTTCTTGCTGCTTGGCATGACCTTCCAGATAATGACGTTGCAGAGTCGCTTAGTCTTGCTTGCTTTTTGTTGTCTGGATGGATTCACAAAGCTACGTGTGGCTTCACTCTTAGCCACCCATGTTACTTTGGAGAGATGTGGAATAAGTTTGTTTCTTCTTTTCTCAGTATCAGTCTTCTGATTAGGAGAATCCTTCACTAGGTTCACGGAGTTTGCCCTTCCTGAAATTATTTCCATGCACAATCAGGAGGAAACTGAAGGCTTTGGGGTCCCACAGTCCTTCTTTTCCAGCCTGGGAGCTGCTAGTTACTAAACTCTGTGACCACACTTTGCTCAGGGAAGCCTCGGAAGACGTGTATTTTTAAGCTTTCTTATTTATTCTGAGTGAAATAAAGAGAAAGAGACAGCATCCCCAAGGTCTTCCCAACAGGGTCTTCTGCCATGGTTCACCCCAGCTTCAGCCAGCTCTGATCATGGGCACACGTGCACCTGGCATTCTCAGGAAAGTCTCCAGACTTGAACTGGAAACCTTCCCATGTGGGTCAGCCTTCTAGAGCATTGTGTTTTAACCCAAGGCCACTCTCCTGACCCCAGAATTTTTTTAAAAAATGCTTATGCCCTCACAGCTCAAAGTTGAGATGTAAAAATTCCTTTATAATTGTAAATCCTTGAAAAAATATAATTAATGACATGTTTTACATACTGACATTTTAAATGTAATGAAAGTTGAGTGTTTACTATCACCTTTTAAAATTTACATGGATGTACTCTTCTATATCAGTAAGGAATTTTTTTTTTTTTTGAGAGGTTTTTGCTGTAGGGCACATGCGCTCGCCAGACAGACAGAGACAGACAGAAAGCGAGAAATCACCCCCCAGGGGGACGGCCATGCTGCAATCCCTTCTCCTCCATTCTCCTCTCAGGATCTTGGGCACGCACGCATACACACCCGGCGTGAGTTTTAAGCTACCAGGTCCAGGACGTGAACCACGGTCGACTACGTGGGAGTCCAGCGACATAGACATTACGCTAACTGCTGGTCCCCAGGAATTTTTCATTATTCATCTTTTTCTTGATTTCACATTTCCATGACATATGTAATTTTATTCTATTCAATATATATTTTGTACTTGAAAGTCTTTCATAAAGATTTTAAAATATGATATAAAATAAAAATGCCTGTGTAAATTATTATTATTATTATTATTATTATTAGGTTTTTGTTTAAGAGCACATGCACTTGTCAGAGAGAGACAGAGAGAGGGAAAGTGAGAAATCACTCTCTAGGGAGGAACTTCAATCCGTTCTTCTCCATTTTCCTCTTGGGATTTTGGACACATAAGCTCATGCACCTGACATGATTTTCAAGCCGCCAAGTCCAGGACTCAAGCCATGATCGGCCATGCGAAAATCTAGCTACTTAACCACTATGCCACCTCCTGGTCTCAGATTTTAAAATTTCATGTAGTCAAAACACTTTAAATATAAAAATATTCTTCTGGACTTAGGTGGTTTCTTATTGTTGTTTTTTGTTTTGTTTTTGCCAGAGGGAGTTGTGTACAGGCCAGAGAGAGAGAGAAAATGAAAAAGCACCCCCTCGTGGGGGATGCTCTTGCTGTAATCCCTTCTCCTCTGATTCATGTTCCTTTGGGGATTTTAGCACCCAAACACACACATTTGCCTGGCAGGTTTTCAGGCTGCTGGTCCAAACCAGTCAACCATGTGGGATCCAGCTGCATTAACCATCGGCATAGGCTGGCCCCGGGCTGAGTTCTTACGGCAATTACAAAATAAATCGAAACAACCCAGCTAGGTGGCACAGTCCACAGTGTACTGGAATGCAGAGCTGGGAGCAACATGGCTGATGTTGTAGGCTGACTAGGCTGGCCTAGCAAACACCAGTCATGCATAAGGACACCCTGAGAAGCTGGAGGCTGAGGGAGAGGGTTGGTGGTATGATGAAACTCTACTGAGGGTTCTCTCTCTCGCTCTCTCTCTCTTCCTCTCTTGTGCATGCATCTGTTATCATAAAAAAATTAGAAAAATGTAAACATATCACAGCTCTTCATATACAATCATTCAACATGAAAAGTAGATTTTTCTTTTTTTTTAATGAAACTATTTATTTAATTCTATTTGTTATTTTTTTTTATTTTGATGAGAGAGAAAGAAAGTGAGAAAGTAAGCCACCAGGTCTGAGACTCAAACTGCAGTCAGCTATGTGGGACTTCAGTGCCCCAACCACCACACCACCTTCCAGCCCAGTAGATTTTTCTTAAAAAGACTTTTTTTTTTTAATAGAGATTTTTGTTGTAGGGTGTGTGTGCTTTCTAGAGAGACAGAAAGTGAGAAATCACCACGCAGAGGGGCTAGCTGCACTGCAATCTTTTCTCTTCGATTCTTCTTTTGGGATTTTGGGCACACATGCACATACACCTGGCATGAGTTTAAGCTGCTGGGTCCAGGATTTGAACTGTGGTTGACTACGTGGGAGTCCAGCAAGGTAACCCATTACACCATCTGCTGGTCCCAAAAAGACATTTCTTAATATGATTAAAGACAACTTGTTCATTTTTTTTTTTAATTTAAGTACTCATTAGTATACATGAGTGATTGACAAAACTCGAAAAGGTTCAACATTAATTTTGTACCTCTTTCTTTTTACTGATGTAAGTCTCCAGGAAACCTTTTTACATAAATAGTAGAGGAGGATGGAAAAATTAGGGTATCTCAATGCCTTTCAGTTCTTTGAAGTCCTGGATAACTCACCAAGAAATCACATAGAGATCTAGCATCAAAAATTATTTGGAATTGGGACCAGCAGTTAGCGTAATGGCTATGTCACTGGACTCCCACGTAGTTGACGGCGGTTCGAGTTCTGGACCTGGTGACTTAAACTCATGCCGGGTGCATGTGCGTGCATGCCCAAGATCCCGAGAGGAGAATAGAGGAGAAGGGATTGCGGCGTGGCCATCCCCTCTGGGGGGGTGATTTCTCGCTTTCTGTCTCTCTGTCTCTCTCTGTCTGTCTGGCAAGTGCACACACCCTATAGCAAAAGCCTCTCAAAAAAAAAGAAATTACTTGGAATGGAACCAGCGGTTAGTCTAATTAATGGCTATGTCGCTAGACTCCCATGTAGTTGACCATGGTGTGAGTCCCAGACCCGGTGGCTTAAAACTCAGGCCAGGTGCATGTGCGTGTGTGCCCAAGATCCTGAGAGAAGAAAGGAGAAGGGACTGTGGCATGGCCGTCCTCACTGTCTTTTTGGCGAGCGCATGCACCCTATAGCAAAAACCTCTCCAAAAAAAAAAAAATTATTTGGAATAATCTTCTATCTATACTTTATTAGGTTTTCTTTCAAACTTGTCAGTTGTCAAAATTTAGAAGTCATGTGACTTGCAGAGGGATTTGTTAATCACATTGAGGTTATTCATGTCTGGGAAGTATAAAACATGCTATTAAAACTTACCAAAAACTATAGTCATTTCTCTCACTCACAGATACTTCCTAAATCTAATATATCAGTGAGGTTTGAGGAAATTGTAATATTGTTAGCACTGGGGAGAGAGAGACAGAGACAGAGACAGACAGACAGACAGACAGACAAAGCACCCCTACCCATGGGGATTGTCACATCACAGTCCTTCTCCTCCATCTTTCCCTTCTTTCAGGATTTGGACAGACACATTTACATGCCTAGTATGTTTCTCAAGCTTCTCGGTCCAAGACTTAAGCCACACAGTGGGCCATGTGGTGTCCAGCTGCCTTAACCACCAGCTGGCCTGACAATGCAGACTTTTTATTGAGATTGTTTTGATCTTATCCTAAACCTTAAATCAATTTTGTCTAGATTTTGAGTTTATCATTTACGTCATTCAGTTTATGAGAATGCCATATAAACTAGTTGGCAAAATGAGCCCTTATTAGCCAAAAAAAAGGTCAAATCAAACATACTTTTGGTTAAAGTCTAATTACACTTCTAATTGATGTAGTAAATCAATTAATATGTGTCCCATGACAAAGATGTCTCTCTGAATCTGACAGTAGCTATGTTGAGATGGTATCATGTTCTAACACTTTAAAAATCTTGAGAGAGAGAGAGAGGAGAAAGAGAGGGAAACAGAGAGAGGGGGAGGAAGGAATGTTATAAACAAAGTGAAAATCAAATGATGTATGGGAAAGTGGGCTTTTATAAACAGAGAGGAAGATGACTGCCTGACCTACATAGATAGGTATGAATGGGAAGTTCACAGAAAGGAAAGCTAAGTGGTACATACATACATTTTTCAGTGTTTAGACTTACTCATAATAAGAAATGTAAGTTAAACTTACAGTGAACTTCCATTTCTTAACCTATTAGATTGACAAAAATCCAAAATTTAAGTCCAGCAGGTGGCATAGCAGATAAGGTGCTGGACTCCCATTTGACCAACCGTGGTTCAAGTCCCAGCCCTGACAGCTTGAAAATCGTGCTGGACACTGTGCATGTATGCCCAAAATCCCAGGGGAGAATGGAGGAGAAGGAATTATGTGTGACCGTCCCTCCCCATGGTTGATTTCTTACTTTCCCTCTGTCTCTGTCTCTCTCAGGCAAGCACATGCACCCTATGGCAAAAACCTTTTTAAAAAAAAAAACAAATATCCAAAATTTATCAAGAGACTCTGTTGACTAAGGCATAGGACCCCGTATATATGATTCTTAGCTGATGTAAAAATGCTACATTTATGGTGGGAGACGTGGTGTTATCTAGCCAAATTATATAATCATGTCGTCTTTGACCCAGTCCATCCCCAAAACTCATTGGCAAACATCTACACTAATTCATGTTCAAGGCTGTTTACCGTAGCACTGATTGCAACTGTACGAGATGAAAGCTACCCACATGCCCATCAGTAGGGAACTGGGAAATAAACCTGTGGTGTACCCACATGACTGAATACCACAAAACTGCAAAAA